CCATATAATTGACAGAACAGAAATTACGACAGTTCAACAATTATCATCCATAACCTAATATAATGAATATCAGAATTATAAACTGCATATTATACTAGAATTCCCAACCAATACATCCATACTAGTTCATTTACATTATTAAATCGAAGACTAGCATTTAAATCCTCCTCAATCCTTGTCGGCATGCAAATTAATATTTAATTCTCATGGCGACTATTTAATCCCCAACTATAAGTCCGGAGTATGATCTAATGATACTCAGACATAAAAACTGAGCACACCTACTCAGATTTTATAACCACAGTCCTATTAGTCCGTTTACTTTGCTAAAACAGCCGTTAGCATTAACCCTTCCATATTCCGTGACGACATGCAAATTATTATTCAAAATTTCACGAAGTCTATTAATCCTCAAATATAAATCTAGAGTATAATATACTGAGACACAGAAGTATAAACTGAACACATTTTATTTGAATGCCAAAACCACCTCCATGCTAGTTCATTTAGTTTTCTAAAGCGAGACTAGCAATTACAACTTCCACTACTCCTGACAGCATATAATTTAGTATCTAAATTTCATGATGTCTATAACTATAGTAGAAACCAACATTCCTGGGACTTAATAATGTTATATAAATCATTGATATAAAATCCCAAAATTACCTTTCAATTCAGTCTATTTAATTTGCTAAAACAACTAGCAATTAAATCTTCCTCCTTCTTTGATAGCACGAATATTATTTTTTCTATATTTCATGATGTCCATTCCCATAGACTACACCAACAACCCTAGCTCTTTAATGTGTTATAAACATCATTTAAGAACCCTCATCAAAGTTCAGCATTGCCTTTTAGCTCCTGAAGTAACAAAAATCACAAAAAATCCACGACTAGGCACTTACAAAAATTGGAGCCGCCTCCAATTTTAGGTTGAGCCGGCTCCAATTTTAGGTTGAGCTGCTTCAACACTTTGTGGAGCCGGCTCCACTTCAATGGATACGCCTCCATTGAAGGGTGGAGCCGCCTCCACTTCTCCAGCCTTTGTTTTTCCTTCTCTGCTTCATTTGTGTTGCTTTCTTCGCGTCCGGCCAAGTCTCAATCTTCTGCCCCAACTTTGTTAAAGATTTTTAAGGTTCAAATTAAGTCCTAACAAGCCTAGAAACTTCTTTAATTCCAGCATGAATTACTTAGCAAAAGCTTAAACCATGAACGCAACAATTTATGTTTTCTCCGTTTGTCTTCTTCACGACCGGCGAAGTTCAACCCTCCGTTCCAGAATTTTTCTTACAATCCTAGGGTTCAATTCAAGTTCATTCAATCCCAGAACTCCTCAAATTCTCTTGTGAAATTTATGACAAAGATTTAAAACAAAAACACAACAATTCATTGTTTCAAAAGCGAATAGGGGTTTAAAATTGTACAGAGACTCTATCATGCATAAACATCCGTTTTAATAATTAAATTAGATTCCTGGAGACTATAGAGAATGCACAGAACACAAGTTTACAGGAAGGAAATAGAATGAAACTTGCCTTTAGGCTTCGGTTTGAAACCTTTCAACGCCGGGTCTCTAAATTCTGGCAACCCGAACACTGTTATCCTCCTCCGACCATTGTTCCCCTCCTCTGTGACTTCTTGATTCTATCCAGAACCAACCCCTTCATTATTCGTTAGCCTCACAAGCTATCATGAAAACCCTCTCTGTTTCCCCTTAAGCTTCTCTCTAGTTTTCCTCTCAAGACCTCTCTTTGGTTTCCTCTCAAAACCTTATTACGTGAATAGAGTTTTTCCCAACCCTAGCAGACGTATCAGGATATATATATAGGCATCCCAATCTTAAGTCTTATTGTATCCGTATTTCTATAGGCTTTAATTAAACCTTAATATAAGTCGGCGACCTAATTATACAAAATCAATAAAACCCTATGACACAAACAACTTATAAAAGCTACCAAATATAATCTACCAAAGACACGTCAATTAAAACCAATAAATCAAAGAAATAAATTTAATCACAATTAAACAATTAAATAAAACCAACCAACAAATAATTTTAATTAACCAATTAAATAAAACAAACACATAATAATAATTAACCAATTAATTTAAAATAAATTCACACTAAATCAACTAAGCAATTAAACCACATAAGTCACATAATTAAATCAAAATGCTATAAAAACAAAATTAAATTCCCTTTTTCATCCTTTTGAAAACTAGGGGTATTACACAACACCCTCAGCCGATCAATTGTACTGGCATAATACGTAAAAAAAAAATTATTACGAGGAAGGAATATTTAATTCACATATGCTTCCACTTGTAATATTACGTTTTATATTTTAAAAAGACTGAAATTTGAATTTAACAAACTTTTTAAATTCTAACTTTCTATCAATTTGTCATCCTTATTCTTCATCAATCAAGTAATAGTTCCAGACTTTAACTTGAGTTCACCTTTAAGGAGTTCCTTTTTTTTTCTTTTTCTTTTTTTAAATCTATTCAATTGAGTTGTCTAACTCAACTAATTGTTTAAAAAAAAACTCAACGAATTGTCTTATGGTCAATTTGGTTTGATGGATTTTAATACACCGGTAGAAAAACATAAATATAATTTATATACACTACTTGTAAAATATAATATATTGAAGCAATTTGTTAATCACCATACTAGAAGAAGGCAAAATATTTTATAACAATAATGAACATAATAGTATTAATACCAACAAAAATAGAATGTAAAAACAAATGCTATGATACAATAGCTCCTAATAGGAAATGTGGCACATATCCTTAATATTTAATTCAAATAATATTCTTAAGAATTTATCAATTATAAAATAATATAAAGTTAAAAAACTATTAGTTATTTAAAATAAACATAAAAATAAACGTATTAAGAGAATCAGCCAAGCAGTGGAGTTTGTGTATCACACAACTTCTTGCCACTTCTATTTTTGAATAAATTTAATAATATCTTTTCTTAAAAATTAAAAGAAGCATAAATAATCTAGGTACATTTGTGTATTATGTTTGAAAGTTAGAAGCATTTATCCATGAGGGAACAGACCAAATTAAATGGAAACATGGTCAATTTAGTTTGAAAGGAGCATGGAATGTTTGTCGATCTGCAGGTCAAAGAAAGAAATGGGCTGTGTTGGTTTGGAATAAATGTAGACCAAGGATTACCATGGGTACTATCATAATTCTGCATAACAAAAATCTTTCGTTTGTGAATTTACAGAGAAGAGGAATGCAGCTAACATCTATTTGTCACAATTGCTATAAAGGAGATGATTCAAATGATCATCTGTTCTGTGTTTGTGAATTTGCCACGGCTGTTTGGCGGGATGTGTTTGATCTGCTGCATATTGAATTTCCAGGTTTTAAAGATGTGAATCAGGTGGTGGATTGGTTTTGTCAAAAGACAGCTATTAAGTCTATCAAGTCCAGAATTTTAAGTGGTGTGTTTGCAGTTACGTTTTGGAAAATATGGTCTATCACAAATAATGTTCTACATAAAGGGATGAGAGATCAGAGTATGCAGGCTGCACAGGCTATAGTTTGGGAAGTTATCACATACCTAAACTTTGGTCTAGAAGATTTGTTCATTATTTTTGGCCATTAAATGTGTTGTGATTTTTTGTATCTTCTAAAGTTCAAATTGTGTCAAGTTTGGTGTGACTTCTTAGTATGGTTTGTCCGAAGCCGAAGCAGTGGTTGAAGACCTTTATGAGTGGACTGGTTTTTGCACCTGATTAATCCTAGTAGAGCATATTTCAATTTTTTGTGAGGATAGGTTGCCTTTTGGAAATGGATTATGTCTATTCCAAGATTCGTCATGGAGATTTATCTCTTGTTGTAATTGTACTTTATTGTTGATTTATAATATATATAAAAAAAAATCCCATTCAGGGAAAAAAAAGAAAGTTAGAAGCATTTGTGTTTTTCTTTTTAATTAATATCATATAAAAAATAAAATTATATAGAGAGAGAGTTTGCGCCTAACACAACTTTTAGACCTACATATATCTCCAATTTGTTTGTGTTTTGCAGATTCTAGTTTCATTTTTATGACTTGTTTATTACTTCAAGGTAGGGAAGGGGGTCAAGGTTAAAATTTTGTAATAATTTCAGGGGGGCATTAGTAATATTTTAGGGGTATATATTAAAAAAAAAAATAGCATGGCATATTAGGAAAAAATTAAAAATTCAGGGAGGCAATTGGCCCCCCGGCTACTATCCCTGATTACTTCCTCTGTCTATAAAACTTGTTCACTTTGACAACCGAGACTCACAAAATTAACTTGTTTACTTTGAAAAAAGTTTTGCGAATCATTTTCTAAAGTGGACAAATTTTATGGGGCAGGGGGAATATTTTCTTTCGTTTTGTCCCAAAATTGCATAAAAGAGATTTATTTGCTCATTAGAACTTGATATTGGCAAATTATAAGAGTAGGAGTACTCTCATGCATCACCGTAGCTTTAATGCTTTGGTATATTAATGACATGATATAAGCACGAAATTTTTTTTTTTTTTTTTTGATAAGTATATAAGCAAGAAATTTTTACGGATACATAGTAATAGGACTAGCTAAAGTAAATACATGTTTACTTATGTAACGAAATATAATTGGTAAATAACACCGAAGACGTGGTATAACATGTGCAAGGAAGTCTTTCTTATAGAAAGAAAAATGCTAGCAACACGGCTAGCATAAATCCCCTTAAAATAATCAGGAGCAGGTATATATATCCTAATAAGCCTATTTGGATCATGGTTCAGGTCGCGGTCACGGTCTCGATCTCAATGTAACTGTCTCGAATAAAATCAATACAAACTGGCCAATATAGATCACGTAACAACCGATATGGCGAACCAAGATTTGGATTGAAGTTACAGGAGCTTATGTTTTCTGGCATACAAGGGATACTCTATGTTTAGCAGAACCCACCAAATACCAAACATTTTCTTACTATTGAGAACATGAATCATGTAATGGAACCAAAATTTGCAAATCATAATTAAAACATTGTAGTCTATTCGGATTAAACATTGTTCAAGCTTGGAAACCATTATTAGTAGTAATTAAATAACATATTCAGCAATTCTACCAACTGCCTACTCTGCAAAGTTCCGATTGAAAATTATAGGGAGGGCCGGTAACAGCGATGCATGCACCCTTTTGAACTGGAAATAACATCTTCCTAGATTTTTTATACAAGCAAGCAACATTGTACTGAAATGGAGGCAAATGGAACAAACTAGTTACACAATAAATATAAATAGATATTCATAGAGCACATTTAATTCGAACCTAGAGATGCCGCCATGTATCTAGCAAGGGCTTATGTACATAAATAAGACGGAACAAGCGCAGATCCTGAAGAAACACAGATGGAAGTCGATGATTCTTGCCTATGGTTCAAGAGAACAAAAGGGTCCTAAAGCTGGTCATCCATTCGTGGCTCAGGGTCCGATTGTTTTGGGATTGTTGCCACACCGTTCATTCTTGCTCTTGCCTCTGCAAACATCCTCTGCTGCTCGGCCAATGCTTCTTCCTCAGTCATTTCGGCAACATTGCTCCACTTCCCACCTTTTATGGAGTCCTGTGAGAGGTTATTCCCAAAAGAACAAGTACTCTATTTGAGGGTTTGGAAACTGTGATGATAATCAAACATCAGTTTACTTGATTCCCCTATGCACTGGTCTAACAAGAACTTTGGTGAAATAAGAGGTGGTTCAACCAAATCGACGACCGATATTGGGTCCAGTTGTGAGTCTCATGGGCCAGTTCTATCCTATCGGAAAATCAATTTTAATGTAGATAAGAATGTTAGAAACGTATAATTACCATTGTTTCAAGCCTGTGTTGTTCGTATGCAGCATAGACCTCTTCAATGTATTCCCCAAAACCAAGAACCTGACAGAATCACAATTATGAGTTACAATGAGTATTTTTTTTTTTTTTTTGATAAGTGAGTTACAATGAGTATTTAACATGCTATTACCATCAAGACAGCTACAGGAGCAGATAGTAACATTCAAAAAGAAAAAAAAAAAAAAAAAAGGAACATAAGGTGGTATGCACAAGATTGAATCAACTAATTCTCATTTAGGTATCCAGATCAAGAACAACATATACGATAAGCTGACAATCTTTGCTGGTTGCAAACGCCTGGAGGAAAATCTACAATGCATTTCTTCCCAGAATACCAATAAAAATCACTAACCCTGGTTGAGATTTAGTTCACTTTCACACACATTAGTTTCCATTCTACAACTGAATAATCAGTGTAACCCTTCATCTAAATGCCGTGAATCACTTGTCCTGGTGTTTGGTGGGTGACACAGATAAAGTCCCCACCAAGAAATATGGGGCACCACATGAGGACGGTCACTAATGATAAACCTACAGCAGCAAAGGATATAGAAAGATGATTACACAAATGCATATTTGGTTTCTCTAGGAATAAAAAAGTGGAGCTCAGGAGCTCACTGAGAGTGGACAGACAAAGATTCAAATGGTCAGACTTGAATCTCCCAAATATAGAAAGGTAGAAAATGGGACAAGTAAATGATGGAGAACAAGATATAATTGGCACACATGAGCTGTACCTGCACGTGCTTTGCCTTTGCTTTTGGTGAAAGGGGGAAGATAGATAATTAGGACTAATTTTTACTTATTTTTATTATTTTGGTAATGTTCATTCCCCATTTAAGTTAAGGATTGAGACTGAAAAATTTGAAGATGACATAAATATTGTGTGCACTAATTTGATATTCAGGAGCTGTAATTCTTAGGGCCGCTTTTGAATATTTGCAATATTTGGAACGTCTGCTACATCAATATTGCTTTCTTGATTTAAAATTGAGAAAGCTGGGAGGAGACTACCAGCACCATCGAGATAGGAATATAGGAAGCTTATGATCTACTACAACTATTTGAGGATAATCATATAGTCATGTTTCCAGAACTGGATCCTAGAAGCTCCACTACGAACACAGAAGCTTAACAATGCACTGCATTCCAATTGCATGCCTCACAAATGCTACTCAACCCACCGGCTACCTCAGCTCATGAATATTTTAGCATTATATCTAGGTGTGCTCAACCCCCGCGTGGCAGTATTGGGAGCGATGGAACACAATAAGATGGTTTACCATAAGTTAGATAATCAAGCGCATCAAATCAAACCTCAAGACAGGTCTACAAAAAAAAAAATATATATATATATATATATATACCTGCATACACATGATGCTAACAGTAATAGAACACAAATGTGAATAACATCATAAGAACTTGCAATATGGATAGATAAGCAAATAACACAAAACCAAAATTAAAAATGGAAAATGAATAATTGGATAAAAAACCTCAAGAGCCTTGAGTACATGCTCTGGTGCAATTGTTCTCTTCTCTTGTCTGCCACAAACTTCATTGGACTCTGACGAAATAAGGTTTATAAACTCTGAAAAGCATTGCAGAAAGGAAAAGAAATCATTCATTTATAAAGAAAACAGAAACTGCGATCTACTTATTATATGAGCTGGCAAACACAATCTTATAGGAATACATCAAGTCTGAAATTGGTAATAGATTCATTTAAAATTCATCAATTGGAATCAGGGTGTATATCATCTTAACAAGTGATATATAAAGTGCACAATTGAATTAAGTACTGAGTGAATTTTAAATTTGGGTATGTTTCCGTTGTAGACCTATTTCCCCCCAATGCAAGAATAAGCAAGTGGGTGCAATTTTCAACAGCACAGGAAGGATCAGCTAATGGATACAACATCAAAATGAAGTAATATTTACCACCGGAAAGGTTTAAGGCCGTTCGACAACAATTGACCATAGTTCCAAAAGCTAATAGATTGAATTGTTGTTAAACATAAGAGTTATAATTTGAATCCTCTGAGTCACTTTGAATGGAAAAATAGGTTAATTTTACAACTAGAAGAATTAGTTAGCTATAACCTATCAAATACAAAAATAGAGTATAGAGCGACTGCTTCTTACAGAAAAGATAAACATGTCATTCCATGAGAACCAATAGTCATCAAAAAAGAAGTATGAGCACGAATGAGAAATAAAATTCATAGGAAACAGGAAAAAATGCGAGGAAGTTGCACTTAAAGCAAAACTGGTATTATGTTAGCAGAGAAGTTTTTAGTAGTCAAAACATCCCCTAGGTTAAAAGGTTGGCTTCTGAAATAGCCAACTAGAACCTAACTGGAAAAAAAAAAAAAAAAAAATCAAATGATGAAATATAAACTTTCTTAGGATGGTTAAAGAGTTTCCAAGTACCTCAAAACCGTCTCTAATCCACTGGATGACACTGGAACTATTGCATTTTATACTTAAAATATCAAACCCAAGCTTGGCAGCTTTATGCAAAACCACAAGAGGACCCCAAGCTTGATTAGAATCACCAAGCTCGATTTTCAGCAAAAACCCATCTGTCTATGTCCTTCATGAACACCCACCAAAATTAGGCTAAGCAAATCGGGAGGGGACTACCGAGCCTTTAGCTAAAGTAGCATCTCTTCCTCCTCTGACATGGGACGTTGAGGGTTCGAGTCCCCTTTGCGGTAATAGTGAGTGTGTATCATACCTAGGCATACAAGCTAGTCAGGCCAAATCAACCCAACCCAGCCCAGGCCGAATTAAGGACGGACCTAGGTAGGAGTTTTATGTTTTAGGGTTGGGCCAGGTACCCAACCCTAATCCAGTTTCAAGCTGGATTGGGTTGGGAGATTTGTAACTCAAACCCAATTTATAATATAATAATACTTTTTATCATATTAAAATATTAGAGATGATCATGGCCATTCATTTTGATCCAATGGTCAAGCTCCTTCATAAATAAAACCTTTCTCTCTTTCACTAAATCAGAATTTCTAGAAAGGGAGAGAACTGTAGCCCTAGCCGTCCTCATCGCCCTTTCTCTGTCACTGGCTTCTCATCACCCCTTCTTGTTGCCATGTTCAACTTCACGGTTTCATCAGAGCTAAATTTACGAAGTATAAATCCTAGCCTCCGACAGTCTCCTGTGAGCCTGTACCAAACCTCATCATCGGCTAAGGCATATTGTTAAGTGGAGTTATATTCATGTTATTTTTGTGGATTTAGTTGCATATCATGTTATATGCATGTTATTTAGTGGATTTAGTGGCCGGTCATCTTGAAGCTAATTTCAGGGAGCTTACTGAAGTGAGAAACTGAAAAGTGAAAATGCTTTTAAATTTTTTTTGGGAAGATATCCAAACAGATCAATGCATTCAGGTTTTGATAGATGCCCAACCCGACCAAGGTCAAACTTGGGCTAGATCTCTCCAACCCAAGGAGAGATTCAGCAGGTCATCTTTGGGTTGAGCTAGGTTGACCCTCCAACCTCCCAGCCCACCCAAGTTGCATCCCTAACCATACCTACTAAAAAAGGAAAAAAATAAAAAAATAAAAAATGAAAAATCAGAAACAGGGCAAGATTGAATACTGAGACGATGACAAGAAGAAGCATTGCTAACAAAAGCCCTCCAATATCTAAGAATCAGGTTAGCATGAATATACAGAACTTGTTGCATGAATCTTCTTGATATTCACCAAAGTGATGCTCAGATAATAATTGCATGGGGATGAAAATCATTGGACAATGGACTCTTTCATTTCAAGATATAACTCTCCAACAGTCCATTTATTCTTGATAAAAATATAAGATTAAAGGGATCGCTCTACAGGCTCCTATGAATAAAATTAATTATGAATTTACCAATACCACAAAATAGTTTATAGAAAAGGCAAAATGAATCTGATGGAGGTAATCAGAATTGGAATTTTCCACATCATGTAGTTCTGCTACTATTAATGTCAGGATAAAGAGGAACCCATAGCAGTGTCTGCAGAGCGGCTGACTGACCCCTTCTAGGTTAAACAAATCTCCCACCAACATGAGTTAACATCATGCTCAAGGAAACATGGTGACATCTACACATGGAGAGAACTTAAAATCTTTTTTCTCTTTTAAAGCATATCTAGGCTTCCGTAATATGAAGAAAATTGTTTTTCCTTTTCTTTCCAGCACTAAACAATGCAGAATAAAGAGACAATGGAAAAATTAAAGCAACCGCAGAAGCATTTTTAAAGTTGTACTGTACAATCATTACAGTGATCTAGCCACCAACGTTCTCCAACCCAAAAATAAAGGTTTACCACGACAAAGGGACTACAGAGAGACACTTTGACATTGGAACGAACCAATGAGACCAAAATAACATGGAAAAAGATAAGGTGTAATTTGCAAAAAATTGAGAGAACTTTCAAGGAAGAGGGAACATTGCAAACGGTGACAAAAGCTCTTCTTCCAGAGCAAGGAAGCATTTGCAGAGTTATCTATTCTCTACAAGGTTAAAAAGCTTCTGAGACGCAAGACTTAGCACATAAAATGCCTCCAACTGATCTAACAGAGCCATGGGTAATATTATTCAAGTTCAGCACATACAGATAACAATCTAGGAACTCAAGGTGGAGCTTATTTCATATGAATCATATAAAAGAGCTAGATAAGTTACCAAAGACTTGAGCTGTATCTATCCACAAGCAGCCCAGTGTTTTACCAGAAAACTAAGAAAAAAGCATTGGTTTGCAACTTTAAAGGCTCAAATGACTTAAGGTATGCTTTAAATTAAAGGGTCATAGTTTCTTCATTTCCATTCCTTGTGTAAGAAGCTCAGTATGTCTTGGGAGATTGGAGACAGACCTAACTATGAAACTACAATCCCTCCCTTTACAGAGTTACTAGTAAAAGACCCTCCATCTTCTCTGAATTACTCATTCTAGCCATCAACTAGTAAACTTCTTACAATTACACCTAAGGTTCAAAATTGATCTGAAAAATGTTATATATTTTTCATGTATACACATATCCACCTCCTAGACTTTCAGTTAATAATTTATTATTAGAAATTTCTAATGTTCAAAAACTTGGACATCTGCGTTCAAAACTTGGATGTCTGCATTCAAAGATGGAATGTGAAATGTTAACATGAATTGTGATAGATTGTTTCCAACACTTTACATGCCTCTCAGATAGAAACAACCAAAATTTGCTCCTTACTGCATCATCACTGCCAATATCCAGTTTTGTAGATTTAATTAGTATGTTTAACTTAAATGATTCTGTTAATTACCCCCACTCCCAATAAGTTTTTCTCAACTTTTTTAAATTAAAAAATAAAAAATAAAATTTGTTACATTTTTTATGACATATATATATATATATAATATCACACCTCTAAAGACTTTCAATTTGTTATTTATTAATGTTTAAAGACTTAGATGTTTGTACTCAAAAGATGGGATGTGAAAGTTAGTGTGAATTGTGATAGCTTGTGACCAACAGTTTACATGTCTCTCAAATACAAATAACCAAAAAACTGCTCCTTACTGCATCATCATTGCAAAGATCTAGTTTTGTAGATTTAATTAGCATGCTAACTTATTTGATTCTGTTAACAACCCCCCATCCCCACACCCAATGAGCTTCTTTCAATCAAAGATTTGAGGGCAAAAAAATTTCAAATAAAAGCTTATGGGTATCCCTCTCTGGTTCACTCTTCAATCTCACGTCAAACTCACCATCCTTAATTCCCATCAACCTCAGTACAGTGCCTCCCATCATGCCTATCTTTGTCCTTATTAAACATTTGAATTCCATCTCATGACAACACACTTGTTTCAAAAATAAGTCTCCTTCCACCAATAATATGGAAGTTCCATGGCAGTGACGTTTCGTTTAAAAAAAAAATGGTTCAGTTACTGTGTCAAACCATGATTTTTGTGGAAATTCAGGATATTAATATATATCAAACAGCTTGAGGGAAGAATGTCAAAGAGAACTCATATGTCACTAGAAAGACAACAATGACCTTAAACATTAACCTAATATCTTAGACAAGTATAATGAGTTCATAGAACTTTCCAAGACAATAGCAGCAATGATGTATTGATTTATCAAACAAAAATAAATAAATAAATAAATAAAATAGAGGTAATTTACAACCAGAAGATATTGACAATTAACTGAGCTGGCTAAGTAAAGGATGAAGCAGAATTAAAACTACAATGTTTCTATAATATTAACTCCTCACCTACACAACACTCGATTAAAAGATCTTGAGCATCTCTTGCAACACGAACATCTGGAGGCAACATCTCCTTTATGATCTTAGTCATAGTTGCTGGATATAAATCATAAGTTGCATTAATGAAGCAAACAAATAAGAACAAATGAGCCAACTTAAATGACATTAGTGTCAAAAACAATGAAGTATGGTATCAATTAAATTTGTTAGTCCTCAAACTTAGATATTAAAACGTTATTAGGTTATATAATAGAATTTATAAGTTTTCACAGGTCGTAAAATGTAATGCCCCTGCAGGCTTATATCGACAACTGATGCTTCCGCCCTTACATGCTTTTGGTATCATTCATCTCAACAGCAGCTTAATGTACCAAATTATAGGCTTTGTCAATTGCAGAAGTAACCCACTTGAACTCGAGAAGTCATAAAAATGGCACAAACTATTAATTCATAAATACTATGACTAAGTATTACACCAGCAAGGCCATGAAGAGATATTGCACAGCTAGTCCAAATATATTGAAGGATTCTTCTCACCTTACCATCCGAGTTTATGGGATGCAGATGGTGCTAAAACCAAACTCACAAAATAATTTATGTCAAGATCTCACCCTAATTGATCCAGAAACACAATATTTTGTATAAAAATAACAACCACAATAATGAATTTATAGAAATTGGCATCAATAGGGTTTACGAATGGTATTACAAAATTAAATTTGTGAATCATTTATGTGTACCAAATGTACATACATACATATATATATATATATGTGTGTGTGTGTGTGTGTGTGTGTGTGTATATATATCTATCCTTTAAAAAAACTTCTCTTTTTTTTTTTTGTTGCAAATGCAAATTAGTGAATGGAAATCATTTTTTAAGGGTTAATAAGTTGTTGATTGTATAAGAAAATTAGAAAATGAGAAATCAATTACTTTTACTCGAAGTGATCTCATGTGAAGTTTTCTCAGATAAATCATTTTCTCATTTATTAATATTCTTCTTGTACAACGAATATTAGCTAGAAGCGCATACAATTCATCTATTGGATCACCAGCAATAAAAAACTAACAAAAAAGGAACAATAATAACAACAAAGAAACCAAATTGACCGAAAAATATATATTTATATTTACATGTATATGAATATATAGGAAAAAAACAGAAAACAGTATCAAACCTTTTGGAAGCGAAGCATCCTCTTTCGACTTCCCAACGATATCCATAGGTTCCATCCTAACCTGCAGAAATCAAATCTCATTTTCATAAGATTCAAATCAAAATAAATATTGTATAAATATTATATACACGAGGATCAAACAAGAATTACAGATCTACAACTTATTCAATCAAACTGAAAATCAACTCACCTAGATTGTGAAATCTGACGATCAACAAGAGATATTGGTGACAAATCAAGCGACCGTAAATAATCGAATTCGAATTAAAATAGAGGATCGGTGTTGCAGAAATATAGAGAGAGAAGTATAGAGAGTTCGCAGGCGATTAGGGCAAATTTCTCTAAAGCGCGTTGAGCAACGATTACTCACGCGCCTATGTAGCGCGTTGGATTCGTCCGTTTTGGAGCCACGGAGAATAAGAACGGTTATGGAGAATAGTTGGCACGTTTGACGAGGGCGTGTTTGGACATTTACGATAAAATCTACGTTTCGTGAAATTTATTATATATCTATATCTTTCTTTCTGTTTATCTTCTAATAAATTAATAAATGTCGGTATAATTTTTATTTCTTATTTTAATTTAATAGTGTTACACCAAGGAAGGGAGAGAGTGAATTGGTCTAAGTACTTTTTCTTCCAATTGGTAGGGTGGGTTTAAAGAGGAGGATAACATTAGTTACGAGGGAAAGGGAAGGGAATGATAATTTTAATCTTCAATAGTGTTTGGTTGATTAACAAAGGAAACTAAATGAAAGGATAACAACCATGTTTGGAAAAGAAAAGAAATAGAAAGATAATAATAAATTTACTATTATACCCTTTTATGTTTTAAAAGATAAAATTTGAGATTTAAATATGCAACAAAATTTTTGCCCCAAGATTCCGTTCTAAGCAAATTCCACATTCATCTTCCCTTTCCAAATCAATATTGGAAAGCTCATTGTCTCTTTTCAGTCTCATTTTGCTTATAATCTCCCGCTCAACTAAGTCCCCGTGGAGCCGCCAAAGAGATGGCAATATAATAGCTGCAAATTTGATTTTTGTAAAAGCAAACACGTAAGTACATGCATAACAGGCCAACTAGAACTTTCCCTCAAAATCAGTTAATAAGTACATAATCCACAAAGCATAGAAGACACTAATAGTTGCCTTCCTTCCATTTGTACATATGTTTGGTCTTCCATTTGAACAGCTGTAAAAAGAATAGAGGAAACAAAGTTTTCACTAAATTTAGGGACCTGTGGTTTCATTACTCAGTAAACCCAATCCATAATAATGACACTTATTTTTAAAGGCTATAACAATATATTTAAATGAAGATTATGTAATGTATGGACATTATTTTGCATTTTGTACAATGCCTATAATCAAGGCACCTCCATAATCCTTGCAATAGATAGAAATTGAAAAAAACACCATTAGAACAAATTAATCAACCCTCAAAAAGTTGTGTTTTTTCAGACGTATAGAAAAAAACGAACAAAAACTCGATGGCAGAAGAAGAACAATGCCCCTAACAAAACACCCACTTCTTGGGTTTCAAGAGCCTCCTTCACAAAGTTGAGTCGAGCTTACTTAGTGCGCTTGCTAGGAACTGGAGAAAGCAAGTGAGAAATAAGAATCAGTTATAGTGTCATTGTGGCAATGGTAACGTGCAGGTAAGAAAGAAGGAAAGAGCTTCACCACCTGATTAAAACTCAAATATACTGTTGTAAATTGCCTATAGGCATCATCATAAAAATCATACCAATAATAAAATAAGAAGTGATAAGTGAAAATATACACCTATGGTTGACCAGCTAACATCAAATAGCAATTTTGAAGGCAGAAGCACACAAATTCTTGCTTTATTTGTACACCCAGTTGTTAACACTATCAAGCTGGTGCCAAATTGCTGATACATATAGTCCACTAAAAAAGAAACCAAATTTTGGAAGAGTATCAAACCAACTGCAATTTACCTGGTAATTAATTGCTCTTTTCTAAAGATCACGAGGCAACAGTGGATGTTGAGGATACTTTTCTTCTAGATACTGTACAACACAATGCATATACAATAATCCTTTTGGTGAAGTTCAAAACATTTTAGAGTCAAATTCACATTAAAGGACAGCGAGAATAAAAGTCTTTTCACTATTAAGATCGCCAAAGAGTCAGCAACTACAATGTCTTCATCTACCAGCACGGGTACATAACCAATAGGATTGAGCTTTGTAAATTCTGTACTAAAAAAAAATTGAGAACATGTTAAAAAGCCATATGAAGACTAAAAAATAAGTGTATGTTTGGTCCCCTCAAAAAACATGGAGCTAGCATCCAAAAACTTTTGGGCCAACTTTTTAAAAATTGTGACAATGATTCAAGACTCAATTTTGTAAAGCCAAACTGAACATATAAAAGATTACAAGCAATAGATCATAATCAAGTTATACATATTTTCTCTTATAATGGTGGAAGCCTCGTGCACTTGGCTGCCCCCCTCCCCCCCTTCCTCCTTTTTCATAAAATTTCTCTTATAGATTTGTATGAAATAGACCAAAATAAAATAAAATAAAATGTATTTTATGAAGACAAGCACATATCCAATTAGTGTTGCATTTCCAAATTCAACTTTAAAATTCATGTCTATTTCCAGCCAAAATAACTTTCTTTGATAATTATACATCATGAAAAGAAAGCTATTGATCGTAATTTGTGAACAAGAGAAAATAAAAAAAAAATAATTGAAGTTGGAATGTCTATGGTATAACATTAAAGCCGGACACCCAATATGTTTATTATTATTAATGTCATATTTCATCATCATAGTATCATATAATCAAGCCGAAATACTATAATAAATCTCATAAGCCACTATATGCATATATATACACATATATATATTATTCTCACCAGGACTAAAGTGCTCTCCTTTCAGCAAATTAACTGGTTTGTACTCATATTTGAGACTTGGTTTGAAAAGGGAAAAACTCAATGGTCAATACTTAACGAAATAAAAAATCAGGGAGAGAGTAGTAGAGTGAAAGACCTTTCAAGTTGAGATTCATGAGATTGCAGGTTGCAGCAAAAAAATGTTGTCATAGAGGTTTTAATCTTGTCAGAGAACAATATTCTTAAATGTAATGCCAACAAGTATATAAAAAATCAGATTGTATGCTAATCCTTAGTTTTTGGGGAAAAAAAGGACCAATTGACCTCTAGAACTTTCACATATTTCTTAGGCCATACAACCGTGCTTGTGTAAGCATGAAAATATAACAATTGTAATCACATAAAATGGAACACGTACCTGTTCCATCAACAAACCTGGGTTGAAAATCATGCCCAACAATGCGCTCTAGCACTGAAGACTTCCCATAACTCTATACACCACATCAATAAGAAGTAGAGAAATCAGTAGTATATGCTGTAATTCGAAGCATAGTTTCCTATTTCGCTCTGCTTTGATAGTCCACTAACACAACCCCAATTTCAATGAAAAATGAATGCTACAGAACCAACAAAAGAAACCCCAATAAACACAAACATCACCTGCTAAATAGAACCAAGAGACCAAAAGTATAATCATTATAAAATTCCATAACCAAAAGAGTAGATAATAATAATTACATCATAGTCAAGTTCCTAGATTTACATCATTGTAAAAGGGTTCCAATAATTACATCATAGTCAAGTTCCTAAATTTACATCATTGTAAAAGGGTTCCAACACATAATTTTTCAATAATATAGCATCACAAAGTTTAACAAAAAAAAAAAAAAAAGGAATTCATAGCATTCCCAAAAGTGTTTCTCAAAAAAAGAACCCATACCCAACAAAAAAAAAAGACTACCCATCATCAATCAACATCATTTTGAACCATACATCCTACCCATCACCAGCATCATGTTGAACCATACATCATTTTCTCTAAAATATTCTTACGCCTTGCAACTAGAACACCAAGGAATATCCTCGTTTGATCAGGATGGCTAGCGAGATAAAAGTAAGCATCATCAATTAAAAATGGCTCAAGTCCAATTGATTCCAGCTCATTATAGATTTCCTCCTCCGAATGCACCTTACGATTGTATTTTCCATAAAGAGCATTTCCCACTTTAATAGATTCTGCAACAGAGGAAATTGCATTTGCTATTTCTTGGGTATCATTAGAGACACCACGTGAAGTCCGTTTCCTCTTTCCTTTTGCACTTGAAGATGCAATAGAAGTTGCCTTAGGGGACATTGTCCTTTCAATCTCATCAGCCATATGCTCAGCATTCTCCAAAGTCACCTCATTTTCCACTACTAGCTAATCAATACCATCAATGCTTCCCATTAACTCGTCATTGGTTGAGCTAGCCCATTGAAAACGTTTCTCCTTAGTAGTTGCAGCCTCATCACTAGTCACTCTATCTTTTGCAAACAACTCTAACAATTTATCATAGTTATTAATAGGTGTAGTTCTCCATTTCTCCGCTTACGGTTTTGCCTATTACAAGCATATAAAAAATATATATATGCTAAACATTTCATAGTGTTTGAAGTAAAAATAACTCCAAAATTGAAGGAACATGAAAGAAGAAATTAAAACTTTCATAGATTAAAATTTTATACAGAATGCCCAACTCATGATTTGTCACTTTCCAACTAATTACACAAGGCAGCTCAAGGAACATGGTATAAACTAATGAATGTGTAAACTGAACAAAATAGAGAAACCCTAGTATTAGTAATTAAAGAATATAGGAGCAAAAAGTGAAGTCCAGATAAGTTCAGCGAGGTAGAAAGCGACTGTGATGGAATGAAAAGAAAAATTGGAGCTTTTAACAAAGCTAACTAATTAAGGTACTGCATTACCAACAAAGAAGAATTACATACATTTTTTAGTATTATTAACACATAATTACATGAATTTGGGTAAACCAACGACACTAGAACAATAAAGAAAAAACATTCAAGAGTACCCATATGAATTAAGCCTTAAACATACTTTAATAGTAAAAATAACTCCAAATTAATAAATAAAAAAAAATAGTACCTCAATCAATGAATTCCAAACCTCTGGCTCCGCACTCCACATCTTTGTCTCGCGGCTCCAAGCAAATCCGCTCAATCCATTCTTAAACAAGTCATACCACTCATTGAAATGAGTCTTTATAGTCTTCAATTGATTTTTAATCCTATCTTTGGTAAAATCCATTTCAAGTTTTGCACACAATTCTTTAACCATTTCATCATATGTTTTACTAGTAAAAGTTCCTTCAACCCTATTCCCTTTAATATGTTGGTAATATAGCACATCAATGAATGCATCTTCCATTTGTTGCGTCCAAACAAATCTATCTTTCTTGCTCCCTTCATTTTTGTTTGCTGTGTTACTCATTTTCTTATTTACATAACAAATTAGCAAATGAGTAAAATCCAATGTAAAATTTC